TCTTAGGACAATCTATAAATAAATATAAAAAATAAAGCTTACTGCTTTCCACCCAGTAACATCATGAAAAAATAAAGAGCAAAAAACAAAGAGAATAAACATCTGCTCTAACCAACTCGTTATTTTCTAGGAAAATCAAACTCAAGTTGCGAGTTTACATCATCACCTAAAATATTTGCCAATAATTGTGATCTGAGCTACAGAGAGATGTTAAAGAGAAAAAAGTGAAGAAAAACACTGTTTAAAACTGCAATTAAACTTAATGAAATAAAAATAATTTGCACGGTGGCTCAGTTGGTAGAGAAATCCGTATGAAATTGAGGTATTAATTTTTTATGCTTTTTAGGCTAAAAATGGGGGCGGGGGGGTCGTATTATACATGAGATCGTATTATACATGAATAAATATGGTAATTTACTGGAACTAAGATGGAAAAATAAATCAGGTACAGTTCTCCTTATTTAATTTAATTGGGGCATTTTAAGTGTATTTATGGGGCATTTATATATTTCTCCTTTTATTTCTACTTATGTCAGTTTCGGTCCTCCATACTTTACTTTTCTTAAGTTGTAAATGTTCATTTTGAGGTTTCTTATTGTGTATTACCTTCTAATAAAGTCACATGTTAARTTGTAATAATAAATATATCTGAGTTGGACTGTGAACTGTTTGGGTGTAAGTGTAGACTTTATGTTCATTTAGCATCAGCTAATATTGTTTGTGTGAATCACATTTGCAGTTTCATGTAGAGAACAGTGTTTTACTAGGCCCTGAAACTAAATTAACTGTCCCATGCAGAGGAGGGGAAGCTGCTGAGATGCAGAAAATAATMAGGAAATGATGTCTGACTAAGCATTTTAGTTCATTTTTTTATTCTGTTCTGTGCTTCTCGTTGGCAGGATGCCTGCGTACAACTCCAGCACTGTTTTCACCATTTTCTTCATTGTGTACATCCTCATCAACACATACATCTTCATGTCTGTCTTCTTGGCTGTTGTTTACAACAACTACAAAAAATACCTGAAGGTACATTTCTCTGATGAAGTAACCTTTTTTTTTTTTAGTAACATGTAATACATTTTATCCAGAGTCATTACTGCACCTCCTGTTTGCTTTAAAGTAATGCATTGTTTTAATTTAAGTTATGGATCATTATAAAGGCATGTATGGTCACATGGAACAGCTGACAGTCAAAACCTTCACATTTTTTACTATTTTTTAGAGATTGTAAGAAAGAATGTATACATTTTTAATCTGTGTATGAA